TTGATCATGGTACATGACTCTTTTGTGCTGTTGAATTCTGTTTGTGAGTATTTTGCTGAGAATTTTCATATCTACATTCATGAGGGATATTGGGCTATAATTTCCTTTCCTTGTCTTATCTTTACCTGAATTTGGTATTAGGGTAATGCTGGCTTCATTAAATGAACTTAGAAGTGTTGCCTTTTATTCAATTTTTTGGAAAAGTTTGAGAAGTATTCTTGAAATGTTTTACAGAGGTAGCAGTGAAGTCATCAGGTACTGGGCTTTTCTTTGTTGGAATATTTTTGATTACTGATTCAATCTCCATACTTGTTATTAGTCTATTCAGACTTTTTTCCCTGATTGTTTTAGAAGGTTGCATATTTCTAGAAACTTAATTATTTCTTCTAGGTCATCCAATTTGTTGGTATAGTCTCACAATAGGTTTTCAAAAACCCTCTCTTGTCTTCACTTTTCTGTTGTTTTTCTTGTTTGTACTATATTTATTTCTGCTCTGATCTTTGTTATCCCCTTACTTCTGCTAACTTTAGACTTAATATATTCTTCTTTTTGTAGTTCTTTGTGGTATAAAGTAAGGTTGTTTCCATTGAGATCATATTTCTTCCTAATTTAGGCATTTATCACTATAAACTCCCTTCTTAAAACTAGTTTTGCTGTAGCCCATAAGTTTTGGTGTGTTGTATTTCCATTTTCATTTGTTTTAAACATACATTTTTAAATTTCCTTTTTGATTTCATCTCTGACACCTTGGTTGCTCAGCACTCTATTGTTTTATTCTACATGCTGGTGAATTTTTCCAGTTTTCCTCTTATATTTTATTTTAAATTTCATATCATTGTTGTTGGAAAAGATACCTGATATGGTTTCAAACTTCTTAAATTTGCCAAACCTTGTTTTGTGACAGAACATATGATTTATCCTGGAGAACGTTCTATGTATTTGGAAAGAATATGTATCTTCTGTTGTTGGATGGCATGTTCTGTTTATGTCTGTTTGGTCCATCTATACTAAAGTGTAGTTCAAGTCCAATATTCCTGTATTGATTTTCTGCATGATTTAGCCATTATTGAAAATGAGTATTGAGGTCCTTTACTGTTATTATACTATCATCTATTTCTCCATTCATATCTATTAATATTGCTTAATATATTTATATTATATATTGATGTTGGATATATATATATTTACAATTGTTATATCTTTTTGATGAATTTACCCCTTTATCCTTATGTAATGACCTAGTATGTTTCAATTTTTGACCTGGAGTCTGTTTTTTATGATTTAAGTATAGCTGTCCCTGTTCTCTTTTGGTTTCCATTTACATGTACTATCTTTTTTATCCCTTCACTTTCAGTCTACATGTCTCCTTAAAGCTGAAGTAAGTCTCTTCAGCATATAGTTGGGTATTCTTTTTTTAAAAATCAATGTGGCCACTTTGTATCTTTTGATTGGAACATTTAATCCATTTACATTTAAAGTAATTATTGATAAGTAATGATTTACAAATGCCATCTTATTAATTGCTTTCCTGCAATTTTGCATTCCTTTCTTGCTCTCTTGCTCTCTTCCTTTATGAATCAATGATTTTCCTTAGTGGTATACTTTGATTCCCTTCTCTTTATATTTTGTTTATCTACTAGAGATGTTTGCTTTGTGGTTGTCATGAAATTCACATAAAGCACTGTAGTTATAATAGTCTCTTTTGAGCTGGTAACAACTTGATTTTGATTGCATATAAAAATTCTACCCTTTTACTCCCCTTCCACATTTTATGTTTTCAATACCATAGCTTTTTATATTTCCATCTTTTTATATTGTGTATCCATTAAAAATCATTGTAACTATAGTTATTTTGAATACTTTTATATTTTAACCTTACTAAAGTTAAGTGAGTTACATATCACCATATTGCTGTATTAGGGTATTCTGAATATGACTATGCCTTGACCAGTATGTGGCAGATCTAGTGGTGATGAATGTCCTCAGCTTTAGTTTGGGAAAGTATCTCTCCATTTCTGAAGTGCAGTTTTACAGAGTAAAGTATTTTGGGTTGGCATTTTTTTCTTTTAGCACTTTGAATATATCATTCCACTCTCTTCTTTCTGCAGGACTTCTGCTGATAAATTTGCTCGTAGCCTGATGGGGGTTTTCTTGTATGAGTTTCTTTTCTTTTGCTCCTTTCAAAATTCTCTATTTTTCTTTGATTTTAGACAGTGTTATTATAATGTATCTGGAAGATCTCTTTTAATTGAATATGTTTGGAGACCTATGTGTTTTATGAACTTGGGTGTCCAAATCTGTCCAAATTTGGGAAGTTCTTGGCCATTAAAGTCAAGAAAGCTTTAAACAAGCTTTCTCCCTCTCTTCTCCTCTTGGGACTTCTACAATGCCTAAGTTTTTTCTTTTGATGGGTGTCTCTTAATGCACATAGGCTTTCTTCAGTCCTTTTTCATTCTTTTGTCTTTGTTCTCCTACTTGACAACTTCAAGTTTACTGTCTTCAAGTTTACAGATTCTTTCTTCGGTTTGATCAAGTCTGCTATTGATGCTCACTATTGCATTTTTCTGTACCATTCATTGTATGCTTCAGTTCCAGAATTTCTGCTTTTTTAAAATGATTTCTTCCTCTGTTAAATTTCTCATTTTTATCATGTATTATTTTTCTGATTTTTGTTAATTATCTTTCTGTTTTAGTTCACTGAACTTCCTTAAAATAACCATTTTGATTTCTTTATTGAGAAAATTGCAGATCCCCATTTCTTTGATTCAGTTAATGGAAAATTATTGTGCCCTTTTGTTGATACCATTCTTCATTGATTTGTTTTCTTGTTCTTTGAATTCTTGAATTGCTGTCTTATATTTGAAGAAGCAGTCATATCCTCCAGTGTTTACTGACTGGCTTCAGTAGAGAAAAACTTTCTGTCAGTCTTGCTAGAGATTCTGAGGATTTCTCAGACCTCTTCTATGGATACACCTGCTCCATACTTCTTGTTCCCTCTTAAATTCTTAAGACTGTATGTCTACTCTTGATCTTTGAAAGCCAGGCCAGTTGTTAACTTCTCATTTGATTTCACTGAATCCTTATGTTTTTTTGCTTTTTTTCCAGTCCTCTAATGTAGAAAGGATGGCTTTCTGCATGTGCTCACCTGAAAGCATTTCATGTGCAGAGACTTATACTTGTCAAGTTTAGAACTGTGAACAGGGAACTGGTCACAATGTGGGGTATGTATGGGTGAGGTATGCAGAATGTTGCCAGTAAAGTGAAAATTGTTCCTCTTATCCTCTTCAATGCTTCCAATCTTGGATTTTCTTTTGCTTCAGTGATATGCTAGAACTTTTCTGCTGGACTCTAGGACTTTCACAGTGGCAATCACATCTATGAGTAATTGTCAAGATTAGTATTCTTCAAGAGGAAGATGGTAGAAAACTCAATTCTGCCAGCCTGCTCACATAACTCTTCTGATATTTTTCTATTTGAATATATTCCAATATATTTTATTTTTAAAAATACTAGGCAAGATGCATAAAGTGATTGCATGTCTCATTAATTGCTCACAAATTGTAGTTTATAAAATATTGATGTAGGAAGTTATACTTGTGCCACATGCCTTCTTTTTAATTAATTTAAGTTTCCATATCAGTAAGACAAAAAGTTAGCTGTCATTCTTGCATACTGAGTTAGGTGCTTGATTACTCCAGGCAGGAATTGATTCCCTCCTTCTCCTCCTTTGCTCCAGAGTAAAGGTATAAAGCTTTTCTAGTAGTTTTGAAAGTGGCATTTAACTAGTGATTTCCATCTGTCCCCACATCACCAGTTATTAACTATGGCAGCTGCTGCTCTGCACCCCATTGTCAAATCCCTTCCACTTTAGTTCTTGCTGTAGGACCCTGGTTTGTCTTTGCATGTTCTACCTGGCAGAGGACAGACTTCATTCAGCATCATCCTTGGGTTTGCTCCACCATTCCAGGGTTTGCTACCATTCCCATCATAGATGTGAATAATTTCCAAATGTAAGCTTGGATTTTTTTGTTCTTGAGGATCAGATATCAAGGGGAATTTCCAAATGATTTCTTGTAGGATTTAGTTAAGAAGATAAGTTTGTTTTCCTGTAGCTGCTGAAAAAATCTCAGATACCAAGTCCTTTACATTCTATTCAAGAATTAAAATATGGAAGCTCTTTTCAGAGTAAATTTTATGGGATGAGTATGTAAACCAAAAATATGAAATACAGCTATATGTTGGGATGATCAGACATGAAATTCTGATTTATTTTATGTTAGCAAAGAAAGCCTATCTTTTTCTCTTCTTTTTTCTCTTTCATCTCCTTTTGTTCTTTTCTTCATTCATTTCAGTCACTAATTTACACATTTATTGAGAGCCTGGTGTGTTCCATGCACTGGGTGTAAAGGCAATAGGAAAGTGTCTTGATATTTAGGGGCAATCTCAGATTTTAGTGTGAATATTTATGTCTAAGTTCTATGTTTTACTGAAAAGTTAAAATGACCTCTACAAGGGCTGCTCCTTTGACGGCATTTTGAACTCCATGTGATAATGGTACAGTGGTTTTCCATACCATACTTCATGTGAGAAGAAGTGCTCTAACACCTCCAATAGGAACATTTGTGGAAATCAGCTTTTGCTTGACAAAAACATTTCTAGGACTTCTTCTTAGGTTCTGTTATTCCTAGTTTTTATGAATGCAAGGAACTAATCAGAATAATTATATTAATTTATTCATGACCAGTAAGCAGTAGAAACCAAACTGAGTCTCACAATTACTCATGTTTAATCTCATGTTAAAAAGAACACTATGGGGGAGGAGGCCGCGCCGTCGGGAGGGGCCTTCCCCCCAGCTGACTCGCGCCCCGGCGGGACGGGCAGAGGCCCGGCGGCAGAGCCCGGACGCCCGTTCGCGGCCCAGGAGAGAGGTGACGGCGGTGGCGAGGACGGGACGAGGCGGCGGCTCCCGCCCTGACTCTCTTCTCCCCCGTCCAGGCCCGGACGCGAGTCGGAGCCGGCTGCTCGGGAAGGAGGCAGTATGGCTGAGACGTCGCCGCCGCCCACCGCCGGCGCGGAAAGTTGCAGCGAGGAGCAGGCGAGGGGCGGGGAGCAGCGGCCGGAGGACGAGGCGGGGCCGCCTCTGGCCTCCCCAGCTGAGCAGTCGGAGCCCGGCTCGCCGGTGGCCGCCCCCTTCTCCCTGCTCTATCCGGGCTATGGAGGCGCCGGCTTTGCAGCGCGCCCGCCGTCTCAGCAGCGCACTTGGAGGACCCCGCCGTCGCCGGGCTCCCCGCTGCCCTTCCTGCTGCTGAGCTACCCCAGCGGCGGCGGCGGCGGCGGCGGCGGCGGCGGCAGCAAGCACCACCCTAATTATCTCATGGCTAATGAACGCATGAACCTGATGAACATGGCCAAGCTGAGTATCAAGGGCCTGATTGAATCAGCTCTGAACTTGGGAAGGACTCTGGACTCTCTATGCACCACTCCAGCAGTTTTTCGTGGTGATGGAGCACTGCCTAAAACATGGCTTGAAAGCAAAGAAGACTTTTCTTGGACAAAATAAATCCTTCTGGGGGCCCCTTGAACTGGTAGAAAAGCTTGTTCCAGAAGCTGCAGATATAACAGCAAGTGTCAAAGATCTTCCAGGACTTAAGACACCAGTAGGCAGAGGAAGAGCCTGGCTGCGTCTGGCATTGATGCAAAAGAAACTTTCAGAATATATGAAAGCTTTGAGCAACAAGAAAGAACTTCTCAGTGAATTCTATGAACCCAATGCCCTCATGATGGAAGAAGAAGGAGCTATAATTGCTGGTCTGTTGGTGGGTCTGAATGTCATTGATGCCAATTTCTGTATGAAAGGAGAAGATTTGGACTCTCAGGTTGGAGTTATAGATTTTTCAATGTATCTCAAGGATGGGAACAGCAGTAAAGGTAGTGAAGGAGATGGCCAGATTACTGCAATTCTGGACCAGAAGAACTATGTTGAAGAACTCAACAGACATCTGAATGCTACTGTAAACAACCTTCAGGCAAAAGTGGATGCATTAGAAAAATCCAACACTAAACTGACAGAAGAGCTTGCAGTTGCAAACAACAGGATTATTACCTTGCAAGAAGAAATGGAACGAGTGAAAGAGGAAAGCTCCTATATATTGGAATCCAATCGGAAGGGTCCTAAGCAAGACAGAACTTCAGAAGGGCAAGCACTGAGTGAAGCAAGAAAGCATTTAAAGGAGGAAACACAATTACGACTGGATATTGAAAAAGAACTGGAGCTCCAGATCAGCATAAGACAGGAGATGGAACTGGCCATGAAGATGCTGGAGAAGGATGTCTGTGAGAAGCAGGATGCCCTGGTGTCTCTGCGGCAGTAGCTGGATGATCTCAGGGCTTTCAAGCATGAGCTTGCCTTTAAGCTGCAGAGTTCAGATTTAGGAGTAAAACAGAAAAGTGAACTAAACAGTCGCTTGGAAGAGAAGACTAATCAGATGGCTGCTACCATCAAACAACTGGAACAAAGATTGCACCAGGCTGAGCAAGGCCGCCAGTCTGCTGAGTTGGACAACCAGCTCTTCAAGCAGGACTTTGGAGACAAGATCAACAGTCTGCAGCTAGAAGCGGATAAGCTCACCAGGCAGCGGAACCAGCTTGAGTTGGAACTAAAACAGGAAAGAGAAAGAAGGTTACAAAACAACAGGAGCATCCCAGGAAAGGGGTCCCAGAAGCCAGAACCCAAAATGGATTGGAAGCATCAGATTCAAGAGGAAATTCAATGTTAAACTAGTAAAGCCCCTGGAAGAAAGCCACAGAGACTCAAACAGCCTAACGTTAGGCCTTTTCCTTACTCTTCATCTGATTTGCTCACTGTGAAGAACACAGCATCATTTCAAGGCGGCAGTCACACCCTGTGGATGAACAGGATCAGCTGCTGCTCTCTGAAAAGCCACAGGTCTGTCAGCTGTGCCAGGTGGATGGCAGCCTAACAAAGAACATGTGTAAGAACTGCAGAGGAACCTTCTGTAATGCCTGCTCAACAAACAAACTGCCTCTTCCTTCAAATACCAAGCCTGAGCGAGTTTGCAATCTCTGTCCCAAGCATTTGATGAAACAGTATTCCACCAGCCCACCGTGAGACTGGAGGCCAACACCTGGACCAAAATGTCTCCACCTGTGTTATATGTCAGGCTTCCTTAGAGCCCCAACTTTAGAATCAACGCAAAAACTTCCCAGAATGATTCAAATGAACCAGGTCCAGGGAGAAGGCGCCATGGTTGGAGGTGCTGGCCGTTCTGCTCGTTTTCCCTAATGACTGTATGAATAAAAGTTACTCAGTTGAGCCTTTCTCTTCTAAATCAGACACCATTCTGAAGGGTTTATTTTATAGCATGTCTTTGGAAGGGCTGTTCGTTTTTATGAATAGTGATAATATGGGGCGGTAGATATAACAGGAGTGAGGATCTAAACATAAGAATAAAAAGGAACACGGCCATCTCCCTCTATTCAGATTCAAGGGGGAAAAATGTTAACTGAGGTTGGAATTAACAGGTGTTAGGTATTTTCCCAGGTGCTGCTAGACATAGACACTGTTTCCTTACCCCCCCCCCACTACCTACGTCTTCTAGAGTATTCCTACTAAACTGTGAATCCAAACTCAGGGAAAAGAAATGAGTAATATAAATTGTGAATGTACTTAAAACAATATTACAATAACATATTATGGTTTCAGGACCAGAGCTTTCTGGCCCCTACGTTCAAGTGTTTCCAATATTAGAACAAGGAGGAGGAACATTTGCCATGTAAATACCTGCCCTTTTCAGAATCTACTTCAAAACAAGCCACCTCTGTTCCCCATTCCCTGTCTTCTCTCCAAGTATAATGGAAATTGTAAGGAGTTTTAAAGATAGGACTTGACTTTGTAAATAGAGAGTATTGAAAGCAAAGCTAAGTCAGGTATAAAAACAAATTTAATGTCCATAGCTGAGACCGGTTAGCTCAGAATAGTTATTAAATTATTTCTTGAATAAGAAGTCCTTTATTCTGAGCCAGTTAGAACTGGTAGACAGGTTTCTTGGAATGTATGATGCTCAAACATCTCTTAGTAATAAACCCTTTTGAGGAAAAGAGGGAAGTGCATTCAGCAAGGGAAGGAAAATGGTGTATGCTATTTTGATTATGTTACATGCATCTAAATTACTTGATTCCATTTAAGTCCTAAGAAGATACGATTCTGTAACTGGTTTAGAATTGTGGGGTGGAAACATCCTGGGACCATGGTATTTGATAAATTTTGTCTCCTGAAAAGGGTTTACAGCCTGGGAAAGAGTTGTTATTCCATAAGTGTGGCCTGTTAGTGAAGCTGAGCTTAAATAAAAGTACTAGGAAAAATAAAATTCAATAATTCTAGCCTAAAGAAAAGAACACTATGCACAAATATAAGAAAAAAATGTAGACAGGAAAATTATTTAATAAGTAAAAGCAAAATATAAAATTTAGGAATAAAATTTATCAATAAAATATTTTCTCATAATTGCCTCTCAAATTACATAATTATATTAGAAAACTTTCCTTATAATAAAGTAATTTATAGTAGAAATTAGTCCCTTATCTAAGTAAAATGAATTTTAGTGTAAGAAAGAAAATCATTGCTGGAAATATTTTTCAAATGTTAACTTGTTCATTATTCTTTATATTTTCCAAGTTTTTCTCAAAATGGCTGATTTGTAGTATTTTCCCCAAACATTGTAATTTATCATTTTTCATTCTTTCAAAGTTGGCATGCCGAGATTGCTTTTTTAGCAGATTCAACTTGTTACTTCAAATTTAAATAGAGTACAGGTGCAGTCTTCAAAGTAAAGATTTATGGAATTTAAGAGTTTTTTTTAAGTAGCACTAAAAAAAAAAACTACCCCAAATAATAATTGAAAAATATAGAATACTCCACCACTAGTATGTATTTAAAAGATCATATTCAGGTTTTTCATTTCTTGGAAATTTTTTGAGTAAAACCATCCTTTTTGTGGATATCATGGTCTCAAATAATTAAAATGTATTTTCAGGGGTAAAAATCTTTGACTTAATTTGAACATCTATGTGTTAATGGAATTAAGTTGTAAGGCTGTAGCTTCTCAGTAAGAATCATTACTTACAAAGTTCACTGACCCCTTTATCAGCAAGTCGTCTTATAAATGTATATCACCACACTGTAAAAAATAGACATGCAGATATTGTCATGTCTATTCTAAAAGTGGAGCCACTGAATAACAGATTATAATTAGAATGAAAGACTAAAGTATATTTAAGGCCATTTGCAGGGCTTACTTCATGAAATCAGGTCTGCCAAATGATTATGGTTATATGTTTCATATCTACTTGAATCCAAGGGTCCAATCATTTTTCATACACAACCTTCAGAGCTACTTCCCCCAAGCTACAGAGTCAGCATACTACTAACTACTGATGTTTCCATGATCACTAACTGCATTTGTTCCTCTTAATGTACAATTTTCAACATGAAATTATAGGAAAATTAGAACTTTAAACTTAGCACTTAAATAGTTATCTATATTTGTGGATTGCTTTTCCATTTCAAAACCAATTAGGTATGTATAGTGCTGATAAATGTTATCAATCAGCTCTCCTGGGGGGGGAAAAATCCCTGATTTAAAGTGTTTGACAATTTCTATTGTGTAAATACTCCCACCATGCCAATTTCAAGTTTCTAACATGGTGATTTTACAGACTGAATGTGTTTTCATTTATATATTTCCACCACATGAATACAATATACCTAAATAACTTCAAAAGCATAGATTATAGTAATATTTACAAGGTGATCTGTTTTGAATATATTACCTTTTTAAAATATAGTTTAACTGCAAATTATAAAATTTAATTTTTGTTATTGGCTGTGTTTTAAAACAGGCTTGCAAATTTTCTAAAATTTTAACAAACTGCTCTTATGAGCTGGTGTGAGCCAGCTTTGGTACACCAGTGGGCTATATAAAGTTGTTATTATTGCTGCTTTACAAATGTGGAAACTAGGGCTGAAAAGAGGGAAAGAAAATGGACATTTATTGACCATTTTTTTGAGATCCTGCATAGTTTGTATACTTAATAAATCATAACTCATGTAACCCTCACAACAATTTAATGAAACAAGAAGTATTATTCCAATTTTACAGGTACAAAAACAGAATTTTCTAAATGTCACAGTGCTATTAGAGTTGAGTTTCTTTGATTCTCAGGATTCTTACATTTTGTATCATGTTTTATGCTCTTTCTAGGTTTCCATGTAAACTATGGAAGAACAATGACTATCAGATCAGACAGTGACATACAGCAATGAACTGTGTGCCATTTAAAACACTAATTTTAATGGTGAATATGGTTACGTATTTCAAAAGTAACAATATATAAACTGATTAATTACGACTGTCTGCATTGATCTGATTTCAGAAATAAAGGTCCTGGTTTTAAATTTTTAGTAACTAAATAGCTTAGGTAAAAAGTAAGACTGAGGAAGAATAGAGAGAACTATATCATACTACAGTAGTTATAATACTGAGCAGTATGATATAGTGATGGGTAGAGAGTGTAACACTATAGAAATTATAAACACTCTGAGAACTTAGTACATGTGAGGAAAAATAGCTCAACATAGAGATGAAACAGAAGATACAGAAGTGCAATAAAACAATGTTTAAGGTTAAATCATTTCTCTAGGATTAGTAATTTACTTTTTTTATTATATGTTGCTTTTAGTTGGACATCAGCAACAAAAAGGAATCAACATAAAACAAGCTAACTGATAGATTCTTTGCAGTTGTTTTAAAGATTAATATAATGTGATATTACTAAATAATTATATACTCAAAAAAACCTTATGTAAATTCTGTAAGAAAATAAATACATTAAATAACAATAAGAGATTCTAATTATAATTAAGGTACCTTGTAAGAACAATGAAAATTGATTTAGAAGTCAAAGATCTACCTTTTTGAAAGCCTTGTTGTAAGCATGCCAGCATGCCATTAATTCTAATTAACTTCTAAAAAATGTTTTGGAGCAATATAAAGTTTGTGAGAAATTTCTGTGTAAATACTATGGTATTCACAAATAAGTGTTGGAATGATTTGTACTTTTTAAAATATCAGGTATTGTGCATTTCACTTAGCATTATAAGATCAAAAAGTCCAGGATGGCTATGCTACAAATCTCCTTGTTTGGGCAATAGGACCTATACTCATTTTAAGACTGAAAAGTGCTTTAAATTCTGAACATTAAAGGTGCTTTGGTTATATAAATTATTGCACTTCTTTGTGCTCTCCTCTCTTCCCTCTAAGTTACTAAATTTCCATCATAACTAATTTTCTCCTTTCTAAAATTCATATCAATGCCAGTGATGTTTGGAACAAACATTGAATTGAAACAGATTTCCTTGTCTTCTGTCCACACCCTTTGTGGCAGTTGCAGGGAGAAGAACACCTTTTGGTGTGACCCAGGGTTTTGGTGTGAAGCTCCCTGCCTTTCCTTGGGCACCAGCAGATCTTTTGCACATTGCTAACTAGCATGAAGAGTCTCACAAGAGGTTTGAAAGACTAGGCCTATCGCTTTTCTCACCTCTCTGCTGATTTAAAGCCTGACACACAATGGTGAGAGTAACAAATGGCCATTACCTACCATCCCTGAGATCTCCTATATGGGCAAAACCTGAATAGGGAGTTGAACATGACTCCAGTTTACTCCCAGCTTGGAGAAAACAGAACCCAATAAAGCTAAGTTGCTATATTAATTAAATTATTTACAAGTAACCAAACTAGGAAAGGAAGGTATTTACACCCAAAAGAACTGAGAACAGATTTAGATTTTTATCTTGCTATGTTTCTGCTATGTTTCTAGTATCTTTATATGTGGCACTTTTTTTGCACTAATCATTTATATAGTTATACTTATGTAAAAAGTTTAGATTCTTTCTCTAACAGTACTCTAATTGTTCTAGAGTGGAATTCATTATAAGGCAACTTCACTGTGTATCTTATCCAAGGACAGTTATTATTGGAGGTACTAGAAAATTAAAAATTAAAACACTTGAATATTTACCATAGTTCTCCACTATGAATCTCTGACAATGTGTGGATTAGATGGGTATCACAGAATTTATATTATTGCACCTCAGTATTACCATTACTTCTCTGCCCTTTTGGTCTAAGATTCAGAATTCTAAGCCAAGATAGCCAAAGTCTG